CAAGTATTGATATATTGAACTTTAAGTCCCTACATAATATGATAAAAAACTCTGCTATTACTTTTGCCCATATTCTTTTTATGTCATTTGTGTTGTCTCCTTCATTGTTGCCTATTAGTCTCACGTTGTTCATATTTGTATCATCTTGGGGATGATGAATTATTTTTTTCTTCATCCTAGTATTTTTAAGTGATCTTTTCTTAGCTTTTCACTAGCTGAAACAGCATCTTTAAGATTGGAAATTCTATCTTCACTTTCACTCCAACAGTTTTGAATTTTCGTGATTGAGATTTTTAGTTCCTCTATATCTCTTTGACTCTGCTTCATGCGATCTATTTCTTTCCAATATTGCTCATTCAAGATTTCCATCATTTTTCTAATCTCCCCTATTTTTAATCAGTGTCTTCTTCAGAAGCTGTTATTTATTCTTTTTCTTCAGAGATTATTTTTGGTCTGATTTCCTCTATAAGTTTCTGCGTTTGATTCTTTACTTCAGATGCTGTTAATTCAGAGTTTTCTTTTTTTATTTCTGAGGTTATTTATGATCTGAGTTCTTCTAATCTTTTCTTCAGTTCTTTCTTTACATACAACACTATTAAATCAGGCATTTCAGCTGTGTGATTACCAATTTCTTCTGGTCTAGTGTCTTCTGTACTTATTTTGGGTGGGCTCAGATCCTGAGATTACCTTTTGCTACTTCTCTTTGTCATTTTGTATAACGCTGTCCTCTGAAATTTCGTGTAGAGCTTTGGTGCAGTAATAACCTTAGCAAGTACTGAAATTCGGGTGCATATCTAAGAAATTTGAACCCCTCCTGTTTTGCCTGGTTGGCCATGGCTGCTGTGCCTAGTTCTTTCCTGCTGCAGCTTTTGGATGTGAATCTGTTGTGGCCCTTTGGCAAGATGTGCTGTTCCTTGTTTAGCTGGATAGTTCTGGCCCCTAACCTTTCTGCATGGACTTTAGCTTCTGTTTTATCCCAGACCTTTGTGCCAGGCTTGGGCTGGGTTTGAAGGAGTGGAGGTATCCCCAGAGCATGGCAGAAGTTCACACTCAAGTTGGGCCTGGGCTTGGTCCAGAGGGGTGCAGGCATCCCAAGAGCACGGTAGAAGTCCTCACGTGTGGGGACTGGACTTGGTCTGGAGGAGAGGAGGTGTCCCTAGAGTGTGGCAGAAGTTCTCACTCATGAGCTGGGCCTGGGCTTCATCCTCAATGGTCTAGCAGGTGCATGGGAGTGAAGAAGCTCTCCCACACACTTTCCTGGCTTGAGTTTGGGATGGGTCTGGAGCAAAGCCTATACCCTTAGTTCTCACTTTTTGTAAAAATCAACTAAGAATAGATCAAAGACCTAGTTATGAGACTTGAAATATTGATAATCAAAGAAAACAGAGAACAACTTGAAGACAACAGTTATGATCCTCATTAAAAGTCTAATAACTCAGAAGATACTTCTAATATTCAACAAATGGGATTTCATCAAATGAAAAATCTTCTGCACTTGAAAGAAAGTAAATGACAGAAGCGTGAGATATTGCTTCTACTGAGTGAAGAGACAATCATCCAACAATTTTCCAAAATAGTATTAACATCCAGTATGAAGAACTTTCCACATCGGGGCATGGTGGTACAAACCTGTAATCCTAGAACTCCAGGAGCTCATATAACAGGACTAGGAGTTTGAGGCCAGCGTGGCCTATATATTAATTTCAAGGGCATTCTGGAACTTTCTATCAGAAGAACAAATAACCTAAAATGAAAAGAACAAATATCCCAACCATTAAATAAGCAAATAATCAGAAAAAATATTCCTCACTATAATAACTACAAATGGACAATAATTACATCAAAATCTGTTCAGTGCTATTGGTCTTCATGAAAAAGCAAATAAAGACTGCCCTGAGATTGTGTATTGTTCAGTTTTCTTATTGCTGGTACAAAATACCAAACACTGACAACTTACAGGAGGAAAGGTTTAATTTGGCCCACAGTTTCAAAGTGTTCAGCCCACATTAAGGTGGCCACAAGACAGAAGCATAGTGACAGAAAGGTATGGTGGTGCAAGGTTGCTTAGATCATGCCTTCCAGAAGCACAGCAGATTGAAAGAGTGCCAGAAAGGAAAGAACTACAAAGATTTCTCCCAAATGTCACAGCCTCATGACCCACCCGGACACACACAGAAGTGAGCTTTAATGACCTACTAAGCACCGTTTAATCCAGGCAAGTTGACAATCACAATATAGAGTGAGATTATATCTCACTCCTGTCAGAATTGCTGTCACAATACACAACACAACTAATGCTGATGAAGATGTGAGGGGAAAAAAACCTGTTGATTGGAATGAGAATGAGAACACCTAATATAGATATCTGGAAATAGTGGTGTCATATGATCCAGAGAAAGTTAGCGAACTGCATAGACACCTGCACACCCATCTTTATTGCAACATGATTCTCAATAGCCAATGTATAGAATACAGCTAGTTTCTTTGATCCTTTTGAATAGACAGAAAAATTGTGGCATGCATACACCATGG